GTTCACGTTCTGGTACATCAATTTGGCCACCACCAACTACTTGAGATTTTCGATTTGTCTGCCAATAAATCACCGACTTTAATTAAAAATCTCCCAAGACTAGGCTTAAATTATCGTCCACACTTTTCAAAATTTGACAACTAAATTAAAACTAATTTTCTCTATGGCGAAGTATTTAACGTGACAATGAAGATTAAACTTACAGTCACAGAGCTTTCATATTTCCCAAATTAAATGTACAAACATGCAAAAGCAAGCATGTTAAGTAAAGTTTAGACAGCAGATTTATATGTGTAGTGTATACAAAAACACAGAAGTGGCTAGAAAACCAGGCTTGAACTGAAAATGTTGAATGCGAAACAACAAAATCTGAACTCAACTTTTGTTAAATTGAATAAGATTTAAATATTCCATTCAAGCTTAACGCTTGTATGTTTTCAGCTCGATTGAATTTAAATTTGACAGTATTTTAGTTTTGCTGGATTATAAAGGTTTGAAATGTGAAATTTCTCGACGAATCGTTGTTAACTAATTATTATTTTTGGATAACCAATTCTTGGCTCTCAAATGTATTTTTACAGGAAGTTCATGAATGAATAGTAAAAAAGTAGTAAATTTAATGGTGGATCCATGAGGATACGATTTAGTACAACTGACCTAGAAGAAAAGTGAACGGAACCAGAAATACAAGGGGTCAAATATATTTTTTTGCATAGTATTTTTCATATAACTCACAAACAACTGGGACTTTTTTACTGAAATTTATTTAAGTACGCACGTGAAAATAATTAATTAGTAGGCTTAATTACACAAATTGTCTCGGTCTTCATATGAGCCACCCAATACAATTTAAATGGAAATTTGTATTTAGATTTTCGACAAAATGATTTACGTGATTATTTGGAAGACATTCCCCTAAAGATAAGGCATGATATGGTATTCATGCAGGATGCAGCCGCAGCCCATTTTTCACTGCAAGTGAGGAATTACTAAAATGCAAATTTTCCGAATCGTTGTAGTGGTCGGGGAAGTGAAACACTATGGCCATTGCAAAGTTTGAATTTTAATCCTCTAGATTTTTGTATGTGTAGATGCCTAAGGGCTTTAGTGTATGAAGAAACGATCGATACACGACACTAATTATTAAATTGAAAATGCTGTGGAAACATTTTGGAATAAACATTTAAAATTAGAAAATCATCTGGATTTAATTACGCGTTGATTAAAGTTAATGGACGTTATTTTGAACAACTTTTGTCAAATCTGATCAGTTTTTTATTAGAGGTATTAAGTTTATTTAGTGTAGTGTTCATGAAATTGTTATGGATCATTAAATTATTATTTTCCTCCATTATTCCGTCCATAAGTAGGCAGTTTATTTTCGTAGATGCATAGCACCTAATTTTTTATTTGCAAATATCTCGAAAACCGTTGACATCAAAGATACCAACTAGGTATAACTTTTTCGTTGACAAAATAATTTTCCATTAAAAAAATTATTTTGACGCCTTGTGTTTCTATTTCCGTGCAATTTTCTGCTAAGATAAGTTGTATTAAATCGTGTTATTTTGACCCCAAGAACCCCCGTTGCATTTTTTACCAATACTGATCCACACACTATGTAATTGTCTGTATAAAGCTTTGAAAAATTCATTGTTTTCATATAAATCAAAAAATGTTTCACAAATTAAAAAAAATATCTACAAAATCAGATCGGAATCAATAGATATATGAAAAACCGCAGCTTAAAACAAATGTTCAACCTCATTAGGGTGTGCCGCAAAAACGAACTCCCTTTAGTGTCTCAATTTCAAATTATTTCCGCTGGACATCATCTAGGGTTTCCACTCAACTGATCGTAAAATATATAAAAACCAAAACATTTATTTTTATTTATGGCTTTGTCAGCACTGTTATTATAGCCATTTCAAATACCGCTGTTGTTTTTGGACTTGGGACCCATCGCAAGGGTAATAAAGAATTGATTCAGGATTATTAGGTTATTCTCCAACATAAGTGTTTTATTCGGAACTTGAACGGCTCTAGACGTCCAACAAAAAATCGGGTCTAAAAATACTAATGTTGTTTGGAAAAGCCTCTTGTAGTTGGCAAATGGCGCACTAGAAAATTATTTGATCGATGTTAAGTCAGACTGGGAATGTAAAGATTGGCTTGTTCAATGCGTACTATCCTTTTTGGTAGGAAAAATACAGCGAGTTTTCTCAATCAAGTTTTTATTCAATAAGGGTTACTCCAACTAAACTGTGAGAATAGGGGTAAAAATATTCCTGGAATCAAAACGCAACCCAATTTTGCTTTGGCGCGATCAAATTTGGGAAAATCAATGTCAGCCTAATGTCTTGTAAAGCATTCCAATCCCAAAATATGTCAGGCGAATGAAACCGACTGCGACGATTATCAAGTACTATTTGCTTCCTAATTAAATATTTCTTGCCACGTGTTTGGGTGAACAATTTTCAATAAGATGATTTGTATTATAAGCAAAACACTTCAAGGCTTCAGCTTCTTCAACTGTAGGTATTGAATTATTTGCGTAGCTGTAAAAATGTGGCTCGGCGATAAAAAGTCGATTTTTTGTCTAACGCCTATGAATGCCATTGAAACAAGGGATGACAAATTTATGGTCCATAACTCATTCACGCTTTTCCACCGATTTATACCATTAAACAATCTTACAGATTACGACATAACTTGGCCCGCTGTTTATAGAGACTAAAAACCAAAAAGATTATTTTGGTAAGTAAGTTAATTACAACGCCATTCCAACTGATGCATCAGAAACCTTGCGCTAGTTTCGGAAACTGCTGCTAAGGACCAGCTTCGAGGTTGCTCTTTTTACATGGATGTTATGTGGGGCAAACTATGTAAATTCATTAATCTTGGTTTAAATGTCAATAAAATCAGCCCATTATGTTCCGTCAGAGCTCTATCACAGACTACTGCTCAATTTTCCATACGCCGAACTTGAAAGCCCAGTACCCGGACAAAATAGAGGCTATTAAACTTATTATTAATAATGTTTATTCGGCCGTTAAACACTGTAGGGTGTGGTTACGGCCTCAAAACCGTCTAAACAAGTTGTTCAACCAAGAAAGATGACCTCAGACCGGACTTCCCGATAAACGCTGACAACTCTAGGCGTTAATTTGTGGTTCACCCAAATAGCCGCTCAATAGGAGCAAGATATAGGACTACATGTTCCTAATTATTAACGTTAAGACAACCATTCCCCAACCTTGTTCTATTATATATCAATGTGTCAAATTTGCACAGTCCTGGAACTAAATCGAACGCTGTGAGGTAAAACATTATAAATAAATGATCGGGAACACGTTGATGCTAGTAATTGTACCCTGACAAACAGTAGCAATTTTAGCTAAATATCTTGAAAGGTGCTCGCAAATCCATGATAAACGATATTTGAGAACTTCTAAGACGTTCCGCAATTTAATGCATTTGATACTGGACTTTAGTAAAGAGACATGTATAAGCCTAATGATATATCTCGAGATGTACCTATTTGTCTTAAACTAACAAGGCATTAGAGCTGCACTATAAATTTGTCATTGCCATTGAATCAAGATGGAACCAGAATGAAGGTTTGTAACGAAATGGTTTATATTGCAACAACTTTGAAGCCATCTCGAATATATATATTAAATTACTGATTAATTTCTAAATATACAGTACATTGTTCAAAGGGTGTACACACCTTCCTCCGCCATACAGAAACTACGGATGGTCGGTATTTAACGTTACCGCTAAAATAACAGTGTTCCAACCATTTAACCTAGAACCGCAGTTCAGGTAGCCAATTTAACCGGTTATTTTTGGAACAGTCTCATAAAACCGAACAAGTGGTTCGCACCAGCACAGAACCGATGCGACACCGTCGGGACATTCAATAACCGTTTTTACCTGCTCACTTCAAAATTGGTAAAATTGAGTACCATGTGAGAGATTATTTTCCAAAAGCTTAGCTAGGCTTAGCAAAAAGCATCGGCAAAAAAAATATTCTTCAATGTTAATGCAATTTGTAATAAAAATTAGCTTTTAAACATTTTTCCATTTTTAGACATGTTAAAAATTATTTTTTTAAAGAGAATAAATCATTATTTATCATCACTATATTTACCATCAGCATCATTGTGAATTTTTAAGTCAAAATTTAAAAAGTAACATGTTCCTTTTGGAACCGCTCTTGGACCCTAATCCCAAAGTGAAACTGCAACGTTAACCTTATCCAGAAAAAAACCGTCAAGCACACCTCTAACAAAAACTGTCCCAAACGCAACTAGCTGATTAATTAATTCCCTACCACATCTAATGCTACTATTTGAACAATCGCAATAAACAGTAAACATATACAACGAATCATAAATTAATCATTCAACATCTCCCATACGTTAGCAAAAAGTTCTGCGTTCAAGTATTTAAACAAACTCCACCGCAGAAACCACTACAGAAGCAAACCGTCATTATATTAGTCATATTTGTCATTCGTTTAACAGTCGATACGATTTTGCGTTAATCAACATAAAAGCTAATATTATTTGTTTTATGCCTACATATTTTCCTTTGCATGTTGATTTGCAAGCACATTATAGAAATATCCCTTCATAAATAATCTACCAAAAACCAGACCGCATATTGACGTTTTTATGGGGCTATAGGTAAAATAACGTCTGCCGAATTTTTATTTAAATTGATGGCATTTAGTGGCCCAAGTTAGGCGAAACTGATATTCTATTAGATGATTTATTTCCTCTATTCCACTTTCGTGATTGTTTTGCCTGAATTATTCCTTCGAAAGTATTACGCGGTTAGTTTGGTGTCGAAAACTTTTCAATACTTTCATTGCACCTGTGCATTGATTTTATCACATTTTCGTAGCTCCCGGACAATTTTGTATAACAAGTCAGCTTGTTGCTTAAATACTGTTAAAATAAAAAGAGATTTTAGAACGGTTTGTTTTTCAGCTTCCAGACCCCTAAAGCGTGCAACCATCTAGAGGATAAACCTTTCGCGGCAGATTAGTAACAACACAATATAAGGGAAGAATTAGTTCATAAGGTAAGCACTGAATATAAGAGGAAGAAGTTCGAACATTATGAACCAGAGACGAACTTTTCATGTAGAATAAATAAATGAAAGATTTGTGGCGCTGAGCTTTAGTTGAGTAATTCGTAGGAAATGATTTTAGTATTCTTAATTCAAACAAATCAGATTAAAACCCAATTCGGAAGTCGACTTATGCACTCATTCTTATGCAAGACGTTCGTCGAGTAAGGCATAAAGCATTAATTACAGGGCCAGAAATTACTTTCACCCAATAAAAATGTATATCACGGCAATTATCAAAGAAAGCCATATTTTATATAATTTTATATAAATAATAATAATTTTACCGAAATGGTGTCAAATAAACCCCAATCTGGCTAAAGGTTTCTGATTTATTGAGGGGATCACAACATTTAAACGATTCGATGTAGCGGAATATCCAAAGTTTTCATAATACTATTGTTGAACTCTTGCGGAGTTAAACAAACGTATTTTTTAGAAGCAAAGATCAAGGCATCAAAAATTAAAGTGAAGCGAAATGGTGAAATCAGCACTCGTATATCTGCATGGGATAATTTAGGACATTAATTATATTATCTATTAATTACAAGAGAATGGTAATTAATGTATTATCGATTTTCTATATATTAAAGCATACAATGGATGGTATAGTGCAATTCGGTGGCATCTAATTACAATGGTTTTGTTTAACGACACTTTATACATTGTTAATAATTTATATTGTTGGTTTAGGGAAGTATTTGATGGAAAATCAACATGCTATTAAAATGTATTTTATATCCAGCCCTTACACGTATCGCTGATCAATAAATTCCATCAAAATTGTTAACGTCGGTTAACCGCAATACAAATCACAATTTATTTGATGTTATATAACCTAGATAGGAATAATGAATAATCTTGTTTGATGTATCCCAAGTGAATAATTGAAAGCGACATATTTTACGGTCATAAGACCCAACTCTAATTAAAAGCACAACTAAAATTGCCTGTTTAAACTAGCTTGAACACAATGTCTGTTAAGCTTGGGCTTATTGAGTTTATGAGAAAGCAGGCAAAAGCAATATTTCAACTAAAATGGAAATAAAATAAAGAAAAAGTAGCAAACTTAACGTGGGCCAACAAATTTGCCCCTGTGACTGCCTGAAAATAATGGAAATTAATTGAGAAATTTATACAAAACGGCGTTTAATCCCCTGATAATAATGATCCGGAACAGTCCTTGGGACCCACGCCAAGAACAGTTTATTTGGCCATCTAAGTAGAAAAATCTCAACTGGATTTTTTTGCCGTAACTTGCTTTAATTTTGCAAATGTCGGATATGGGCTCTAGTGCAGCTTATTTAAATCTATTTAACGTTTCCAATACTATTAGCGCAAAGGCGGCCAGTTTAAATAAATTATATCTAATACTTAAAACCCGAAGTTACTGCATTAAAGTCTGCTTTGAAATTCTAATGCTCACTTTGCTTCCTGTCAATTTTCCTAGCCGCATTTTGCAACTAATTTTCCACGATGGAAAATCTTCGATAAAATCAGGAAAAAAACGGATAAAAAATTTAATTTGTTTGAAGTGAATACCACATGAATATGAAGCCTTCAATTTAAATCTGAATACATAAAGGAATTGGATAACTCGATACCCCCGTTTATTTAAATCGAATCAAGCAATTTTCTGCAGCTTTTTATAACACTTATTTCTCGCCCTCTGGCATATTTTTTAACGAAAATGTTTTGGCAGGAGCTGTGAAGGTTTTGGCTCTATAAGGCTATATTATGCCGGGGATGTTCGGTAGCTTATAATTTGAGATAAGACTTTTACCTTCAAATTGAGCGTCCTCTTTAGAACGGCCATTAAAATGCTAATCCACAAACTTTGTTATTGTTTTAGGATTCTTACTAAAGGACTTGAGATTTAAATGTCATATTTAGCTGCATCAATGTGTACCTAGCTTAGACTTTAAACTTTATTGAATTGATCTGAGGTAAATCCTTAAAAGTTCAATAAAATAGTCCTTTACGATATAATAAACCTTCCAATCTTCCGAAAAAAATACGTCAAGTACATCTTCCATGCGGATAAATTTAGGGGAAAATAATCTAAACAAAATTAAGAAGTTCTTCTAAATAAAAAGTTTAAACGATCTCCTCAAAGTTGTTTATATCAATTTTTCTGTGAGCGATCCCCAGTCGTGAAGTTGATTTCGCGTTTATTCAATTACAACTTTATAAGATGGGTATATGGGAAACATTATAAAATTAGTTACGGTTGTTCTAGGAGGTTGATATTTGCAGTACACGGCTTTTATTGTTTATTATTACTTTTACTATGTTTTGTCATAAGTTTCAGGGTTTAAGTTAAATTAAATATAAATATAATTACACTATGTACGAGCCTGTGGATTTAAATTTGAAATGACTAGGGACTAGATAAACGTCTCTTTGTTAATTGGCAAAGAATCTAGACAGCAATGTCTAGTTAGTAAGGATTTGGCTAAAAGTCAAGGCTGCCATAAACTTGGCAATTAAATGCCTTCTTAACTCAGTTCTATTAACTTGCACATCCGCGCTTCACCTCGATGTCAAATTATCTCCAGTTACCTGAAACTTACGTAGTCACAAGGGTAAAGTTAGGTATCTGCAAACATTTACTCCTTAATAGTCTTCTATTATTACACCTCAAAATAAAGATTTAGCTAATTTGAACAAGCGTCTCAATTAACCTTTAATTTGCTTCTTAATTTTATTACACTAGTTGAAAGGTCTAAGAAACCTGATTAAAAACTTTAGATTAAAGTAATAAAACGTTAAGACCTACAAACTGAAGCGCTATCTTAATCGAAATAATTTTTAGAAGATTTATTTAATGTAAACTTGTGTGATACGTATAAATTTGCTCCCTCAAGTGTTTTTGTGCATTTTTAGGAAGCCGCTAAAGACATAAGGCTCCGTCGCCCTTTGTAATAAGCGCTGTTCGGAATACTGTCGACTTTCCAATTGATTTTTCCGACTTTAGTGGATTTTGAAAACAATCTGCCATTTTCCAGATCCAAGACCGCGATTTTGAGCCTTCATGAAAGCTCTCTCCATTTCAATTTTGAGTCCGCTTTTAAAAGGCCGTAAACGTTGCACATTTTGTTTGAAAAATGAAAATGTTAAACGGAAAAGCAGCCCGATTTAAATTATGTAATACCGGAAAACTTACTTCGTTAGTTTTGAAATGTTGAAAGAGTGTTCAAAAGAAGCATCGAAAAGTATCTAAATCAATAACTCTTTTATAGTTTCCCTATAAAACATTATAGCTTTTTTCGTCAAACAAGCCAAAGCATGTTCACAGAAGTGTGCAAATAAATGTAATATTAGTTCACTTTATCGGCGGCTATATAAAATGTTCATTCTAATAAAACTAATTCGTTTCGTATATGCAGATGTTTCGGAAATGTTGGTTTTATATATTTTTATTTGCTTAAAATGGAGCTTTTGGTTAGCAAATATAATCAATTTCCTAACGAGTTTTGAGAACTAATTCATTCACTTTGTTACTGTTTGGTCCCTTTGGGTTTACCAAATTATGGATTTAAAAATGAATTGATAAAGGTTTTTAAGGGCTTAGAGTTCTGGTTATCCAAGCAGATTTTTAAAAAAATACCTAAATAAAATAAAAAAATCAACAGATCTCTGATGTTTTCGGACCAAAATTTCACGAATTTTAATAATGAAGCCGACATAACTGGTTTCATGCAATTGAAACCATAATTTTAATAAATCAACCAGCAGTACAATCAAAGTTTTGTAGTGCGGCAGGACCGAATCCTAATTTAAACAATTGGAATAAAGCTGTTCTTTAACCATTAAAAATTGCATTTCATTTGTGCATTGAGGGGACTAGGCTTTTTTATTCATTACATGCGGTCGGTTTTTCCAGATTTGTAATGATTAACAGATACATAATAACAGGGATTCTGTATCTGCTCGATTTGGCTTTGGGAACATAAATTTTATCATTTTGCTTACGGTACTTCCATATTTCAGATTGTTTCAGATTGCGTGGGTTGAACACCGTCAGGTAATTGAGTGAAAACTGGGTTAATGTGATAAATATTACAATTTCCTATTGGAAGTTTATTACATTGAAGATGCCCGAAAAAGGAATATTTGGAGTGAAGGCGACATGAATATAAAATAGGCCACGTATGTGATCTTTATGCATTTAAATATATTACAGAATCTTTCTTTAAATTGAATTTTTCTAGTTCCAGTCTAGTTTTCGCAAGTAAAGCGATCGTCACGGCTGGCTGACTATAACTATTCAAAAACTGAAAGCTGGATCGGTTCTGGACCGGTTTTTGGCACGGGAATCTATGCCGCCAACCGAAGCAGTCAGCCCGACGCCGATGTCCTGTGACGACCCACAAAAATCGTTTCTTTCATGGAATATCCTTAAAACGTCTTTTATTGTGCCTTAACCCGAATAAAAAAAGAAATAATTCCATCAATCCATCTCTACGAATTGCAGAAAGACAAGCGTATGCACTTCGATTGTTACGTTCAATATTACCTGGTTTAAGGTGCAGGCTGGCAATAAAACATTGTATTTGACGAACAATATTAAAGAAATAACGATTTATCACAAATATTAAATTGAAGTGTCTGGAGTCGACAAGAACTTGTGGCTCTGGAACTGATTAATAGAGGCTGCAACGTGCGGCTTGCGACCCGATTATTCCGCATCTACACATTTAGTTATCGTTAGAACTCTGACCTTAACCAGTCAGCTAAAAATTTCTCTTACTTTATAGGAAATTTCCATTAAATTGTTTTCTCACTTAAGCGAACATATCAGGACAGCGCATAAGAAAACAGTCGCAAATAGCAAATGCATTTAAAATAAATGGTCTCGTAGGGATCGAAAATCATTAAATGTGACTTTCCGACATGTTTAATAAAATAAATGGCCTCAATGACATGCTGCTAAACTATGAGTTAAGTTG